AATATACTGTATTCTGAAGTGAATGCAATATTAAATATACTGTATTCTGAAGTGAATGCAATATTTAATAATCTATAATATGCCAGGTAGCAATAATGGCATAATCGTCCAACATTTTAAGTAATCAGAGAAAGTAATAAACACAGTAACGTATCAATCCGTGCATCTTTAGCTACATCTCTGTAATAGATGAGCCCACACTAGACATTTGTCTTGCTAAGTATTATGAATGAGTACAGCTTTTAAATGATTTAGACTTAATGTACTGTGCGATTTGCAATGAGCCCTGTTGCAGGATGCATGTGACTGTAGCGATGAAGAAACTGCAGGTGTAATGTTGCTAATTTACATGCATATGTACACTACTTGACCATCTATCATTTATAGTATACAGCGAAATGTAAAGTTTTATTCTGCTTTAATAAAAAAAAAACATCTCCCACTCAAAAATAATCCACACAAACTATATGTGCAACAAGGTCTCAGGTCAACAGCATCTTTTATGCATTCTGACTCATATGCTGAAGTGTGGTATTGAGAGGACCAACTGTCAGCAAACGTGCACTCATGCCTCAAGACACTTGAAAAGTGCATGGATAAAAATAATGTATTGATTTACATAAGTTGATTTACAGCACCTTTACACATCTGCCAGTCAAGCCATCTACCAGCCCACTGCCTTTTTTCCATTGATATGACACTGATGATCTCTTTGTGACTATATAACCAAACACGCAGTCATGCACTTTCATGCATTTCAGCAGTTCCAGCAGCAAGTATGACAAAAATAATATGGAAGCTTTTGGAGAGGTTAACTGGCATTACAATATTCATGACTGACATACAGCTTTTTACACAGTTTTTCCACTGCTCAGTCTACCTTTTGTTGTATTCCTGTCTAAGTTTAAAAAGGAAGGAATATAAAAGCAGTATGCAACACAACAATAGTGACAAAGTGAAGAAAATAAACAGCTGTTGTACTGTATGTATATAAACGGTGCTGGAAGGGAGTTTGGATTACCCACAAAATGATGCAAAATATTGCAGCAAATAAAGCAGATCAACAGTAACACACTGGAAAACCTCAATCCTGCAAATAACCTAATCTCAAATTCCCTCTTTGTTGTGTTCTTGTCTTTAATTGTCTACAACTATGGATGGTGTTCATTTCCCTGGTATCATTTATAAAGTCTTTGCTCATCCTTTCATGACATCAAACAATTAAATTAAAAAAAACAAATTATGATAAACCACAGGTTAATATTTTCATATATATACAAATAAATTGTATCCATTATAACTAATATATCAAAACAAATTTGAAGAGCATGATTTTTAGTAACCAATGGACAGACTTCAGTCCCATTTTTATTATTTGTTGTTAAAATGTAGTTTGACTACATTTCTAGGGATTTGTAATAACTTATTTATCAATGCTGACTGAGCAGAAGCATGAGAACAATGTCAAGCAGCACTCAAGCCTATGGGTGACCAGTACAAATCTTAACAGACAGCATGTTCTAGAATGTAGGTCAGAAATCATAAGAGATGTTTAATCATGGTCAGAGATGCAGCAATCGGTTTAACTTTTACAAAATATGCAATTTTAAAGCCAAAAAAAATCCTACAGATGTTGCCATTCACCACAGGAAAACTCAGCCGAGTTTAAAGTAAAGTGAAAATGAAAGTGGATAAACTTCTCTTATCCCTTTGTGAGAGTTTGCATTTGACCCATGTTTCTATTTTTTCTTTTGAAGTTGCCATTTCAAATATGTTGCAATGACTTCACCTTAGACTGCTCTTGTATTAAAATACCCATTACAACATTGTTCATCTACAACAAAGACAACTCACCACAGAATACATATATCTTACCTGATCCCACGGACAGATGATCCCACCGGAAAACATAAAAAGGTATCCCATGGCAACCAAGCAGGCCCAAATGACCAGAGAGAAAATCCGTAGAAGTTTCTTGAAGATGGACTCAATGCAGACAAGAACAAACACAGCCAGGAAGATGGCCAGAGCTGTGGGTACAGTGATTACAAAGGCCACATGGTCCTCAACGCTCTGAAAAGAGATAATAAAATGAGACAGAAACAGTGAGATCTAAAGAGGATCTAAGAAAGAGGAAATGTGTCCAATTTATCAGGGAAAACAGGAATAATTAGAAAAATATGGCTTTTCTTTAGGGAGGTAAGTAAAAGAATAGAGTGACACTTCTTCTCAAGGGGCATGAAACAGCCACACTGTGTAATAAAAAGCCTCGTCTCTAGCTCCATCTTTCCTCTTTAGTGTCCTGAAACTACAAACCAAGGCAGACATGATTCATCCAAAAAAGCAGTAAATACAGAACAGTTGCTGCTCTGATTTCAAAACACAAGGTGTCACAACTAAATTAACCCTCTTTTGCTGGAGGTTATCTGAGAGGAAATGAAATAAACGTCTTATCTCTGTACGTCCTTCAGTAGCTTTCACTTGATGGAGACACTAGATACTGTGACAAGACTCAGAATGAATGGCTGCCTAAAAATTCAGACTGTAAAATATGACATCAAGGTAAAAGCCAACATGATTATCTCTCAGGTTCAGGTAATCAAATAATGCATTTAAGATGCAAGACTTTCCTCTGTCTTACAACATATAGTAATTGTTGATTGCTGAAGCATAACCACAGTAATGGATTCAGTTTAATTGTTAATTTTATACACATTCTACATAAGATAAAATTTATTTTAAAAAAAAACTAGATATGTAATAGATAAATCCTAAGACTCCGATGACCCACATCACTATTGGAATGCAACAAATCCCTTTTTGTACTACATTTTAAAATATAAATGTATCATGATATTCTCTTTTGCATGTCTCTCGTATCAAGACTCTAGCTTACACTCAGACCATAACAAATGAGCACAACTGGAGAGATCCAAACAGTGAATTAAAAGCTAAAATTATGTCTATAAGGGTTGAATGTACAGCACACCACTGAATACACAACTGAAATAAAGTAGTACTAAAGTATACTTCATACTGAACTGGAGGAACAACCCTAAAAAGGCCCCAGTGTTAACCAGTATAGCGAAGTTTAGTACATTCATAATGGATTTGCTGCTGCTGCTGTCTTTCTGGAACACACTTAGATCTGAAAGTTCTGATAAAAATTTCAGGAGTTTCTTCAAGGTAGGAGAAATGAGTTGTTTCTGCAGCCCGCCTTTGCCAGGCTTCATTCCATCAACACATTTCTAGTGGTGTGACAGGGGATGGAAAAAGGGTCAGGGGTGTGGACATGTAGGCAGAAGTGTCACATCCTCGCTGCCACATCTGGTTGTGTAGGCCAGGAAATCTTTATAAAACACAACTGACCAAATTTAAAAATCAACCTGAAATAGTCTTGTGTAATATTGTTGTTGGTTATTTGCTGAGTCTTGTTAATTAAATAGGAACTTACTGCACAGTGACACAGTTTCCATATTTTACATGTTTGTGCTCCTCATTCATTTTTGGTCTTTAAAAAAATCCAAACATTTAATGTTTATTACACAGCATGATCAAAAAGAAGAGATTTTTTTTTAAAGTGATCAAAAATGTCAATAAACCAAAACTATTTGTTTTCTATAATCATTGCAGGTACTAATCACTGAACTCGCCATTTTTATTCATTCCATCATTTTCCTTGCATCAACCCCCCCACCCCCTCTCCTTTAGCCCCCCCCACCTTCCCTCTGTCTCTCTCTCTCATCCACAGTCAATGCACTGGGACAGGAGAGGATGTGTGCGACTGCAGAGAGCCACAGAGAGTTTGTCTCGCCCAGAGCAGAGCTCCAAAACAGCACAGGATTTAGGTCAGCCAGCGAGCAGAATGAAGGGATGATAGGATACAAATAAAAGAGAGAAAGATATGAGGAGGTGAGAGATGACACATGCACGAGAACGGAGAGAAAGAGGATGATGGAGAAAAAAAAAGGGAACTGCAAGAGTCACGGCTATACAGCACTGCGATAGAGCAAAGGAGGATGTAGGACAGAGAAAATGAGCAGTGGGCCACCAAGAAAAGACATTTATTGAAATGCGTGTTTAGGATGTCTGTGTCCCAAAAGCGCAAAATTATATTTTTGTTCTAAAGGGAAATATTTTCTTCAGAACTGGAACATTTAAAATGCATTTTTGCTTGTAGAGCAACAACTTAAACATGCATCATAACCCCTTATTGTCTTTTAATTCAGTTTTGATAGTGTCCATATTGATTGTTTGTGTTAAGATGGGCTCTGAAAGATGCAGTGTGTCTGTCAGTGCGCTCTGTCTCTTTTAGTGTGTTATGGACTAATCCCTACTTAATGGCAGACTCAGCAGAGACAGGGAGAGGCACTCTCCAAATGCAAAAATGTAATTAAGCTATAAAAGGTTATATTAGAACATAATGTTGTTAAAACTCTTTGTATAGTTACATATGACAGGCAGGTTCTTAATAGTTAAAATTCCATTTCCATACATACAAATAATTAATATTTTTTTAATCTCTTTGTATGTTACAGCGTGTCTCGCCTTCACTGCATTGAATTTTGCAGGTTTTTAGAGCAAAGATAATCCTGTCAAAATAGTGACAGAGTAAGACAGATAGTAGTTCATTCAACCATGAGCTCAGACAATAACTAAGCCCCCTACACCCCCCCCTCACTTTTATCTCACCCTTCTCTTCACATTAGTGCTGCCATGAGGACCACAAGCTGTGAGAGCATGCATGTGCGTGCGTATAGGTATAGCAAGCGCACATTTGTATGTGTAAGTCATGGAGGGGAGCCCACCTTTTGTATTTGACAAGCCAGTGGTTTCTGTAAGCGTGTGTGTACATATGCACATTTCTGTGTAAGCCAGTTTGACGAGGTACGTTCATGCTTATGGACAGGGCTGTAATCTCCCAGTCAACTGTTCATTTGGTTGGTCCATATGCTCTTTTCCGACCAATCACTGGTGTTAATCATAAAGGTCAAAAGCACAACAATCAATTGCCTTCCATAATGAATCCAGTATTTTTGGCAAAAGGAGGGATGTTCATGTGTTACACTGTAGTGTAAGTGTAAACTTTGCAAACGACAGTTTACATATCCCAGTTCAACAACCAACATGAGACATTTGAACCCTGCAAGCTCCCTTGACTATGAAAGGATGCTGCGTCAGCTTTGTGTTAAAGCCTTGAGGCTTTGGCCGTGAACATATCACACTTGGCATATTTCAATGTGTTTGGTCGAATAAGTATAAAATCATTTCATATGATGCAAGTAAAAGCTTTGGTGTTTATTTATTATTTATTCACGTTAAGAAGGATACCAGGTAGAGTGAACCAAGATTTTCAGTCAACCAATATTTTTCTTGGTTGACTTCAGTCCTACTCATAGAATATGTCAGTCTCCACATGCACACCCACTTCCCGAAATGTACCTGTCCTCACTGTTTGCAGAGCTTAGATTTGAAATTAATTTTATTCAGACCGTCAATTACAGCTGACACAGAGGGATATATATATATATATATATATATATATATATATATATCGTGTTGCAGTGTAACACCACCCATGTGTTTATATGGTCCTGGACGTTTATTTATACTTTTTTGATTTGAATACTGTGACTGTGTGTGCATGTTGTGAATGAGTAGCTTACCAGTCCTGAAGCAAAGAACACAGTGAGCAGAGCCAGGCAGGCTCCCATCACAATGAGCAGCAGGAACACAATCAGGGGATGCTGCTGGCTCATACAATAGTAGGACTCATACAGCCAGTCCGGGGACCTGTTCCTCTTCTCCTGACCTCCTCCTCTATCCCCTTCACCAGACTGCCCTCCCCGGTCCAGGAGATAGCGCTTCCTCCTTATTGCTTCTTGCCACATGGATCTTGGAGCTGAGGAGGAGGGAGGGAAACCAGACAAGGTGGTCACTGCTGAGGAATTACTTGTTTCCAACACTGATGAGGAGCAGTTGCTCTGCTCCGCTCTCCTGCTGTTGTTGTTCCTGTTGGGGACCCTGCTATAATAGCTCCTGATGTGCAGCGTATCCTTCGGTTCTTCCTCCACCTCCTCTCTTAAGTCCTTCAGGCGGAGACAACTGAGAGCTGAGGCTGAGTCAGAGGAAGCGTGCGCTGGCCGGAGAGGTGGCAAGAACGCACCAAGGGTAGAGCGCAGCATCCTCCTCTTTCTCCTCCTGCCAACATGTTGGAGCGGGAAATGAAGAGGAGTGCAGAGACTGAGTGCTCTTTAGAGTGAGAGAGAAAAGTGGGAGGGAAGTGTAGGGAAGGGAAAGGCGAGGGAGGGGAGGGGGCGAGGGAGGGAGGCATAAGGGGGAGGGGAGAAAGAAAAAGAAGGTGCAGCAGCAGGGAGAAGTCAGCGAGCATGAAGAAAATAAGAGTGGAGAAATTACTGTGACATTTATGCTGTATGCATAATATGATATTGATGCCACATAATTATTTCAACTGAGAAACTGGGGAAGGTTAAGGTCAAACAGTTTGAGCTGCCTAACTTTAAATTTACAGCATTTCAACAACTGAAACTTGAAAATAAAAGTCAACTAAGTCTGATCAAAACGACTCTAACCCTAACTTCATTTGTCCGACAGAAAAACTAACCAAACTCAAGGCATTCTGTTTTTGAGTCTCAACCCGACCAGAGCCTGATGCGGTTAATATATTAATATGTGATTATTGCTTGTTTTTTAAGATTACGGACATATGCAGTGTAAAATCTCTGCTGAGCAAACATGACCGAACCAACCCGAACATCAACTCAAAATATTTGTCTGAACCCGGCCAGGCACACTGGGTACCGGCGTGTTCAGGGTCGGGTATTCACACTCTACTTGACGTCACCTGGCTGCCCCGTCTAATTGAATATTCCACACCTTTTTGAATTATGCATTTCATATTTTGGGGGGGGGACACACCCACATTTATCTGCTTCAGCTTTTGGCCGACCTGTGATTGGTCAACTCCTGATCTCACCATGAGGATTCATATTCTAATAGTGTGGACAGCACATCCTTCAAGAAAAAGAAATCTCACTTGGTGATTTGTGCTATTGCTTTGTTGTAGAGCTGTTTGTATCTCTCTCTCGCTCCCTCTCTCACAGCGGGCGAGCAGGCCTCAGCATCGCACCTGCCCTCTCAGTGCACCCTTCGTGGCAGTGTGCATGAGAGCATACTTCACACGTCATCTCTGTTATCAACCCACATCTCCACGACCTCCACCACCTACCACCACTGACAGAACGAGGGAAACTAAAACCTTTTATATGAGCAGAGAAACCTTTTCACTTCAGATCAGGAGAAAAATCCTTAACACAAACATTTATTCAATCAATTAACCATTTGCAATCTCAGTGCATTCTATCATAATTATTTTTATCTTTCACAGTCGGCGTCGTCTTATCTTTTTCCTTTGCTTCTACAAAAGACCCAATTTCCAAATGTGGACCATTACAGCTTCATCTAATCTGATGTAATTAGAATTCATTTAGTAGATTTTGCAAAATTAAAGTCAGAGTATAAGGTAAAGCATAACACAGCAAACAGCAATGAAGGAAAAAAAGATATTGATTCTTTTTTAAGGAGCACTGAGAGATAATGGGAGTGGTGGTGATGGTTTTAATGTTCCGACCACTTGTGGGCTGTTAAAATAGTATCTACCTTTTTCCTGCACCATGTTGTTTTCACTTTTCTCATCGTCATCACTCCATGTACATCATTACCCTTTCTTTCACCTCCTTCCTCTTATCTTTCCCCGCTGCCTTCACCTCTTATTTTGTTCTCACTCATTTCCCCGCGATCTTCCACCAATGTCTTTTCTCTGCTCTTGATTTACAACCCTCATTTTCCCACTCTTGATCCTTCACACCCTTCATTCTGTCCCCCCTCTTTAAAACCCCACAACGTTTCACTTTTTCTCCATCAAAATCCTCTTACGTACACTTCAGGTCTTCAGCATCTGCCTCCATTTCCTGAACCTCAACTAATGTACGTATCTCTTACCTCATCCTTATACCATTTCCAACCCAAGTTCCTTTTCCCACATGCCTTTCATTTTCCCCCGTCCTCCCCCCGCCTCTCATCCTCCCTATTGGGAAGCTCATTCCATTCCATCTCCATCTCGACCTACTTCCAGCTCCTTTACTCCACCACCTTACACCCTTCTCTTCATTTACACATCTTCTCTCCAGTGCCTAAATATAGTTCATTGGGTTTGATGTGGTTATGTGTTGTAGGTACAAGACGGAGAGTGATATAAAAATACATACATATTTTGTCCCTTTACAAAAAAATGCAGACTTTCACACAACTGCATTACTTGATAAAAATATTGCAAGTGAACCTACAGTTTATAGCCTATTCAAAAATATGACCAATTTGATTCATATTGATGTTTTGTCAATGTCTTGTTTTTAATCTTATAACTTAAGAAATAAGGTCTGATTTAGTTTTGCTAAATGTGGTACCGATTTTGACTGTAATGGAACAAGACAACTATGGTTTCATTACGTTAACTTAAATCTATTCCTGCTCTCATTATAGCCAATGAGATTGCTTTTGGTTTGACATTTCGAGTTGAAAAATATGAGTTGAAAAATATGACAAAACTCATCCAAATATCATTCTGTAATAAGATTGACAAATACAGACATTTAGCTGAGTGTTGTCTCAGTCATGCTTTTCTCTGTGAGTAATGAATAACACTGACAGCACATTAAGAGGCATAAAGCTGCAGGAAATGAGTACAATTCAGAGACTGTTGACCCACAGTGAAATCTTACATAAAAAAAACATTGAAATTAAATGTACAGCTGATGAAAAATAAAAGACCTTCCAATACACAATATATTTCAAGAGGAAATTTGCCACAAAACAAAAATAAGTATCACTGTTAAACTTTCAAATAGCAAGAGCTGCAGTAATTATAATGCAAATAAAAACCATTAGCATAGAATGAAATGCAATTTGCATTTCTGTGAGGTTTTACAATTATGACAAAAAAAGTAGTGATGTTTGTTTACTTTTGTGCTAAGGCGACAAGAGCAGCATCTAAAATTGAGTGCGCCGTAAAAAAGGAGGTAAGATGAATGTAACACACACAAGAGGTAGTGAATGAACTGACAGATATTGACCTATTCAGGGTTATATTGAGGTCAAGAAAAAGCTGACACACTCTCCCCAGGGTCTTTTATGTACATCTCCCACATGTAACACACACACACACACGCGCAAACACAACAGTAGCATTTGCAATGTTTACCAGTTTATCAATAGGCAAATTGTTTGATTCAAGCTAACTGCAGATAGATCAATATTGGTATTGGTTATGGTTAATAATAAATTATAAATCTAAAACAGAACACAAATACATAATAATTGCAGTAATACATTACTGCCCCTTATTTCTCAGAGATGGCTGCTGTCATGTTTGCATCATGGGTTGCATGTAGCCTTAATGTTGATGGGCTAGCAAGTTCTTTTAATCTGTTTATCTGCACTGACAGTGTTTGGCTCAGTTTAAGCTGCAGGGATTTCTGAGGGCTGCACGGTGCGGGGATGTTTTGCTGCCATGAGGGAGGCAAATTCATGACAAGAGAAAATCTGTCAAACAGCCAAGAACTAGAGCTGAAACGAATGATGTGCATTGGAAACTCATCTGATTCTCTCAGTTTCAAATTTAAAGCTGTGATTCTTTTCCAGAGTTACACTAACCAACTATAATGACCATAAACAGCTCACTAAAACCTGTATTACAAGATGGATCATTAGACTGGTGGATGAATACTTGAAACTATAAGGTCACATAAAGTTCCACCAACTCCAGATTAAAGTGAAAAACAAAGAAAATATCCTGGATCCACCTGTTTATCCAAATACAAAATTGAATGTAGCACCCCTCCTCAAAATTGTATGCAAATCCGTTCAGTAGTTTCTGAATCATCCTGTTTGCTGAGAAACACCAAAGAAAACATAACCTCCTTGGTGGAGATGATAAACATTGAGATAATAAACGACAATAGAAGCTGAGAAACTCCTCGTGCCCCTCCCCTCTAGTTGTATTCTCCCTGTTGTTGAAGACACCGTTTCTCATACAGCAGCATACATATTATTTGCTGACGGTAAGCAAATGAATTTTATAATTGCATAATACCTTGAACAGCAATAACCGAAATCTTAATAAATATGCATTTTTGTTTAAAAAAAAATAAATACATCAGATGTTTTTGAACCGTCATATTTGCACCATCCTTAAAAATGCTCTTTGGTCTGGTTTACACTGCATTTCTCTCTTCAGCAGCCGTTCTCGTCACTGTCAGAATTAATTTCTGTTTTCTCTGCAGGGGACTATCGACTTCAACGAACTCCTTCAGCAACAACACGTGATGCACTTCTTATCTCATTACCAAGCATCACAGAGGGACATTTCATTTACCAAGAAAACCTCCCAGGCCAGTTGTTTATGGACAGGAGGGATATTGAGCATGATTGGAAGATTCCCTGCTTGAATTAATCGCCCTAGACGTATCTCCGGCCCTTTTCTTACATTATATTATAACATTATTAGCCAACAAATTGTACACACCATGTCAGGCACAAACCCACTGTCCCAGAGACAGCTCAGAAATAGACATAGAAAAAACAACTTCATCAATTTGATCAAACATGCTGTGAAAAAAGTCACAACACATGAAAATACAGAGACACGCTGCAAAACAACAACGGAAATGTTTCCAGGGGACACAAAAAAGTGATGGACCTGGCTGTTCAATGCTTTGTGAAGTAATTGAAGTCTGCTACTTGTCAGTGGGGACGGAACTTCTTTCTTAATTTTCACGTTTTCCCTGTTTGCATGTGTTTTCTTAATTTGCAGAGCGTTGAGGTCTCTCAGCCTCCGTACAAACCAGCACACAGCACAATACAAGAGATATAACAAGAAAATTATAAACATAAAAACATTTATACATAAAGGATGTGAATAAAGCACTGTAATGTGAAAAGTAAAGATTCCAAATATGTAGAAATAAAAAAAAAACATAATACGCAATGGAATACAAATCGTAACAACCAACACATATGATTGTCTTTGTTAGAGGAGTAAAAACATGAGTTATATTGTCCTTGTCTTCTTCCACTATATTAACATGAGTCTTGAGTAACCTCATCACAACTAGACTGTTCTATACAGGTGTGAATGCCACACTGTTTAATGGTCCTCCCTGTTAAGAGATTACATAGTGCAATATATTAGTCTAATGTTTTATAAAGGAATCAAACTTTAAATCAAACTTGATTACAAAAGCTTTTCGAAGTCTGATTTGGTCTATTTGTTTTTAAAGCTCATGACAGTGCAGGCGTTTTGACTTAAAGGTGATTTCAGTGCTGATATTTCAGACTGAATATGAAGCAAAAAAAAAAAGAAAACATTCAGCTGATATGTTTTTTGGACGTGGTCCTACATTTAGAAAAAGATGTATGTTATTGGATTTAGTGTAGCATTTTAATATATATAATAGAATAAAACTCATTGCTTAGCAAATGATTCCTTTCTTAGTCTGTTCACCTTCCTACTTTCTCCAAGCCTCAAGATTTGAATCTCAAACTCTTTTAAATCTCTCACAAATAAGTGCAAATTCAGAGGACATATTTACTTGTGGTCTTTTATCTCCATTATTATTAATATTATTATTATCATCATCATCATTCATGTGCCTCTTTTTGTATTTAAACCATTTGTTTGACGTTTTTTGCAGAACTTTGTAATTTGTGTTGAACATTTTTCTATTGTCATAACTTCTTCAACATTTCCAGGAGACCACAGTTAATAATCTCTATGATAATGACAGCTTACTTTATCAGCCCTGCACAAGATGTCACTTTGTATTTAACAGAGAGTTTACTGTGTTTGCTGCAAACCATCTTACCTGCGTGAACGCTGACGCCATGACGGACCACGTGTCTGACGGTCTTCTTCTTCTTCTTCTCTTGTGCAAATAAAGTCCAGACTCAGCGAACATAATGACGCAGTGAAAGCTAACAAGCTAGCATTAGCTTCGTGGTTGATTTTCACGGGGCCGTTTGGACACGTGACTGCGGGAGAAGCCCAGGTGTAAAAGATTCCCACTCACCTGGGTCTGTCCTTCCTCCTGTGAAGAGTCGAAGTGTCTGCTGTGAAATAAACCCTGGTGGATCCCGCTAACGCCATGACTGTAGGAATACTTTGAAATCTAAAACCCTGAGCTCTGAAAGTCAAAGTGTAAAAACAGCTTCATCTTCCTCCTCTGGTCACAGGAGGGTTTCTCCAGAAGCCGCCAACAGAGGGCGCATGTTCCCAAACACTGAGAGGCTGACCTCTGCCCCATCTGAACAATTACTTACTTTATTAATTTAAAGACGTGATCATTTGATCAAATCTGTAAACATGTGGGACGATTAGCTCAAACTTTAGGCAATATGTTGCTCAACACCCACCAGTGGGTTGTATGGTGGGATGTAAAAGTACATTTGCTTTGCTGTTGTACTTTCATGTATCTGTTCTTTACCTTCGTAGACTTATTTTCAGGTGCTTTCCACTTTTACTCCACTGCACACATCAGCAAATCTGTGCAACTCTTTTTTTTACTGCATTTGTATTATTCACTGAATGACAATGAGAGCAAAGAGCACCTGAAACTGCAAACATCTGAAATGGATTCGAAAGAGGCCAAGACTCAGTCATGAAGAGATACATGAGCGTCTAGAAAAATCTGAAACTGAAAGTTGTCGGCTGAGAACAAGAAGAAACACAATGGCCCACTGCATTTTATTAGATATCATATCACCTGTGCACCAGTCTATCTCAGGGAATTGCCATTAGTAAAGTATATATAAAAAATCTAAAAGAGATTTGACATATTGCTGACGAACTGCACAGAAAACCGATTTACAGAATTGAGTCAACTATCTATCTTTCTATCACTCAGGTGACTTTAACATGCAACACGGTTTATTTCAATTTTTGCAGAAGTTTTATAAAATGATACTTAAACTAAAAAATGGTATTCAGTCATTTAAACACGTTCTTAATAATTTCAATCAAACTGATGTGTTTCACTTATCTAGAATAGAATATGGTCTATCAAGCCATATTTGATTCTCTTTGTCTGCGCCTGTGTCCAATTCTCATTTGGCATAACCTAGATCTTAAGATAGACTTCAGATAGGATAATTTCAGTCACCACAGTATATCATTTTAACCCTTCATTATCTTTGCATACTCAATGAAGTGTCTTAGCCTGTCAGTGGGTTATTTAAAGAACTGGAACTGCACTTGCTTCTTTAACTTTGTCTCTGGGTAGAACTGATTTCTGTATTTTTATCTATTATTCTTGATATGCAAGTACTGGATGACAGTAGAGCTAGAGGGTACAATGGGATTCTGCAATTATTTAAATTCTCCATGTTTAATTAAAAAAGTGTTGGTTAATGACTAGTTCTTAGATTCAGGTCAATTGGAGAGTTCAAAACTGCCCGTGGTGTATTTAGAGTAGGGGCCAATTGCATGTGCACATGAACCAGAGTCGTAAACCTAACATGGGGTTCACTGACATTTTAACCAACAAATCAACAAATCAAATCAATTAGAGAAGAGAAGAGAAGAGAGGAGAAGATAAGACGAGAGGAGAGAAGAGAAGAGGAGAGAAGAGAAGAAGAGAGAAGAGAAGAGAAGAGAAGAGAAGAGACTTTAAATATGCATGCAAAACCTCAATTATATCTCGTTTAGGATGGGAAGTATTTAAATTCAGAGTTGGAAGATGAAATAAATCTTTTTTTTTTCTTGCTGACATAATTTTCACACTGCTCTTCTGGGAAAATGACTTAATTTATATCCACATCTTCTCCGTGACATCAGAGTTGGGAGGAGCGAGGATCTTCAATCACACTTGAGCGAGTGTGACATATTCTGCATCAACCCTGATCCACCATTTATTCTCCTAATGATCCACAACAACTAATCATTAGCTCCATTTTCCTCCATTTCAGTCGCCCTAGAACTTTAATTATGACACCCTGTGGCAAGTCAAATCTCAGCATTAGCATTGACATATGTAATACAATGTAAAAGACATGAGTAGAGCATGTGAATATGAATGCACGTGCTTGATTGTTTTGTCATGCAATGAAATAGAGAGGGCGGTGTGACAGCCTGAAGTACCTGCTTTACTGTGTGTGTGTGTGTGTGTGTGTGTGTGTGTGTGTGTGTGTGGGTGTGTGTGTGTGTGTGTGTTCTGACAGAATGAGAACAGCTGGATTGTAGTCACGGGACTTTTCCATCTACACTTCTCTCTCCTCTCTCTGAAACTAATTGTTCTTTACTTCTAGCACCTGTTCTCTTTCTCTTGACGTCCCCCCTCTTACCTCTTTCTTTCTCACTTTCAGCACTCTTCCTGTCCTTTTCCCTTTTCTAATTTTCACTTATGTGACCCCCCTTTGATCACAGGCTGCTGGGAAATGCATCCACTTTTGCTGCCTGAAAATGAATCGCAGAGGGAGGTACTCCAGGGGTGGTGTCTCCTAAGATATGATCAGCCCAAATTCCTTTTTCTAATGGAAGTGAGAAATTTCACAAAAATATTTGTACATGAGTATTTCAATATGTTTTCTGATATTATCAAGTTAGTGTTGTTATTACTGGAAATGCACAGCATGTCCAGCATCAAAGACCATAAGACATTGGGCACAGTACACTGACGTCATTGATTGATTGATTATCTGGGTCACTGGGATAAATAGAGGTGATCACTGTGCAACCCTCCTCAACAGAGAGCATAAGTTTGTTACTGCAAAATAGACTACAAAAATATAATACAAATATTACTACTACTTCTTCTACAAATAATAGTTACAATTATAATAATAATTGTTTTCTATATTACGCATCTAAACAAGGTTACAACACATAACATGGGAATACAATTAGGGAATAAATAAAGATAACATTAAAGAAAACATCCATTTAAACCAGGATCTGTGCAGGATCAGCCTTTAGGCCCTGATGGTAAAAGCCTGCTCCCCCTTAGTTACCAGCTTTAACTTAGAAACTATTGTCATTGGTTGGAAGATTGCAGCTCAGATAACAGGGAGTCAGTAACTCTGTGATATAACTGAGGGCCAGACCATGCTGAGCTTGAAAAGAGAAAGAAAGAGAAAAATCAGATGAGTCTTAAAATCAACTCTAAATTTAACTGGCAGCAAAAAAAGGGAGGTGAGAATAAAAGAGACTTGCTCGTATGCTTGGTGTTGGTTAAAATGCCTCTGTACTAGCGGACGCCCAGACACTGAGGACTGACTGACCCATGTAAAGAGTGCATTGCAGTTGTCCAGGTGTGAGAAGATAGGTCTTCTCCATTATGATGTAAAAAGAACAGCAAACGTCAATGCATTTTTTTCAAAACTTTTCAATGGCTGACAGTTTAAGGACCTAATTTGCATCCATCCATCTGCAGCATGTTATTTCCACTGAGAGATCTCACTATCACACTTTGACTTGTTTCTACTTTTGGGCTCAGGGTAGTGTGTGAGCTTTTGTGTGTGTGTGTGTGTGTGTGTGTGTCTTCCAAAAATTCCTGCAGCAATGGCAAAGCAATGACCCCATATCAAATGGCATTGTGTGTGTACAAGCATGTTGTGTGAGTGTGTGTGTGTGTGTGTGATGACCTTTTCTGACCTGACAGTGATGGTTAAAAATAAAGACTTGATTATTCTCCATAATGGCATTGTCTTGGAGCTGCTCATCAATGTACATATACCTCTCAACCCTGATATACTAGTTTCCTTGGCAACGTTTATTTATAGTATTGATATTGTTGTTACATGACCATCTAGTAAAACATGTGCATCAAAAAAGGGGAAGAGACTAAACGTTGGACATTTAGTCTTTAAAACCACTGAGCACAAGTGAAGGAAAACAAACAAAAAGATAAAAAACAATAAATGAATATGAAACAATATATATATATATACTCTTCAAAATTGAATTACTAATGGTCCATGGATAAACTAGGCAATCATTATCTGCATTTCTTCATGATGTATATTGAAGCTCACGCGCATCAACATCCATTTATATTGGTAAAATTAGGCAAAATCTCCCTATAATGAGGTATTTTACAAATAAACATGAACAAATGCAGATGAATTCTACTTCCTGCATGGACCACTGAGTGAATGTGGGCTTAAGGATGTAGTTTCTTTGGCAGCTTAGTGATGAATCAGTTGTTTCAGTGACAGCTGTAGCTTTAGTCCTCCTGTGGCAGAGATTCTGCTACACACTATGGACACATGTTTGCTCTGTAATGTTTAGGATGACAATTATTAACATTGGCATAGAGATTATACAAAGCTGGATTCGGTATAAATATGTACAGACTGGGTCTTCCATTGGTCTCTACTCCACTGGTGCCACTGTAGCTCACATGTGACAGCAGGTGGAGCGATGACTCAGACGATGCAGTGTTTCTAATCTCATGTTTTGTATGTGATCACGGCTCCAGTAAACAATGTGCCAGTAGTGAGGCTCCCTCAAGGCCTGTAGGAGAACCTGGCTGCTGATGGAAAAGTGAGCCTCTCTTTCAATGTGTCTGTCTGACTATGTTTATGGAGGGATGGAGAAGTATGGCTCTGCAGCAGATATAGTACATCCTTTTTCTTCTGTTGCTCCTCTAATGAACCCCCCACCACCACCCCCACCACCCATATATATAGATTGATGAATTGATTGACAGAAAAAAAAAAGATTTTAATTTGCAGTAAAAAGTCTGACATTAAACCACTGAAACGAACATTTTCCACGAACATTATAAAATCTTAATTTATCCACCACATGCTGTGGCTATATGCCAAGACTGAGACAAGGAAATAAATTGCCTGCCACCAAGATGCATTCATATCTCTCCAGAATTCTCTCTTTCCCAGAATTGTGACAATGACATGAATGCTGCATTGTGCTGCATAATGAGCATAAAAAGAAAAGAGATAATAGAAGAGATTTTTCTATTCTGACATTATTTTCCCACCTTGAACTAGGTCTGCAGGAAACCCATGTTTTGTTTTTCTTTTGCTGACGGACAGTCAGGGGTCAGTTTATCAGCAAAAGTACTGCAGAAAAAAACACCTTTGAAAAGAGGTCTTTATGAAGCCTCTGTCTGTGCATTTCAGAGCCAGAGGAAATGACCTCCAGTATTAACCGGACTCACACCCACAGCAGAGCAAACACTCGGTACGGTAAGCTTGCTATGCCTCTGAGCCTCATTGTTCAGACGTCCTCTACATGGAGAATAGACTAAAAAGATATAAATTAGTGG